AATCATATCCAATGGACCATTTCTACTAGAGGGTCCGGTTCTACAAGAAAAAGGGGTAATTTTAGGTTCGTCATTCTACAAACAATGCGCATCATTACAGGAGAAGAACCGTTCCTACAAAGGGAATCATATCACTGAACCGATCTACAAGGAGAGTCGAGTCTACAAGAAATAGAGAGTAATTTAGGTCATTACTACATACAACTACGTTAATCTGCAGAAAAGCGACGTTCCTACAAAAAATTATCACTGGACCATTCACATAGAGGGTCGGTCTACAAGATGAAAACGTCACTTTAGGTCTGTCCTTCTACAAACTGCGCATCATCTACAGGAGAAGAACCGTTCCTACAAAGGAATCATATCACTGAACCGATCTACAAGGAGAGTCGAGTCTACAAGAAAAGGAGTAATTAGGTCATTACTACATACAACTGCACGTAATCTGCAGAACAAGGACCGTTCCTACAAAAAAATCATATCACTGGACCATTCTACATAGAGGGTCCGGTCTACAAGAAAAAGGGGGTAATTTAGGTCGTCATTCTACAAAACTGCGCATCATCTACAGGAGAAGAACCGTTCCTACAAAGGAATCATATCACTGAACCGATCTACAAGGAGAGTCGAGTCTACAAGAAATAGAGAGTAATTTAGGTCATTACTACATACAACTGCACGTAATCTGCAGAACAAGGACCGTTCCTACAAAAAAATCATATCACTGGACCATTCTACAACAAGAACATGGCCAACAACAAGGAGGGGGTACTTCAGGAGATCCTTCAGTACAACTACACATACTCTACGAAAGAAGAACCGTTCCTACAGAGGATTCATATCACTAGACCATTCTACAATAAGAGCATGGTCTAGAAAGAAAAGAGGGGAATTTAGATCGTCCTTCATTAACACTGCACATGATCTACGTCCCGAACGACTGTTCCTACAAAGATATCATGACTCTACACTGTTCCACAAGAAAACCATACTCTACGGTAAACATGAGATAATTTAGGTCGTACCGAATCCGTCTACCTTCCACTCATAACATGACCGTTCCTCCACATAAATCCTATCTACGATTCTCTACAAGAAATGTAAAGTCTAGAATACTTGTGGAATATTTGGTGCTACTTTCCAATGAGCTTGCACATGATCTACATCGCATTAAACCATCAGTTTCCTTCAAATGTTCCCGCCCAGCATAACTATCTTCTTCGTTTATAACTTCGCATCTACGGACAAATGCCTACATTAACAACAAACATCTCGATACACTCGTGAAAACACCGGCTCTCCATTAAACTTCACACAATCATAATTACAGCATATTTTTATAATAAATTTATGCATTATCGTAGATTGACTGCTAATCGATTCCGTCCCTACACTCTTCACCGACTACACTCCCTTCTTCGAGGTAAACTACGGTCTTTTATTTATCGCACAGCCATTTGCATGCCACAGTTGGAATTAAAAATAACTAGCGACACACTACGCTCTGTCTCGAGTTAACATGGTAGAAAATTATTTAATTTTTATTTTTATTCATTTCGAAATTTCCAAAAATAAAACTGACCAGTGAGCGCACAAAGAAAATAGTTATGCTTTTCTGATTGGTCGATTAAATTTTGTCTTCTTCAATTACTGCTTTTTGATATATATTATGGTACTTAACAATTTCGTTTTGTTATTATCATCATTGACTTGAAACCTCTATTATTTGTTGGAATCAAATATTATAACTATTCCATTATACTTACATAAACATTTTTTGTAATTGTACTTCTTCGTCCGACAGTAAGTCGTGAAGTTTTATTCAAAATAATTGTACACTACAGCCATCTTGTAATCGGTATACCAACTGAAAAATCTGGCTACACGTAAACAATACTTTTATCCTTCTAGGTACGACAGTGCACATTTTCTGTCGGACATTACTGGAAACGGGTATTGTACAATACCGGACATAAATGCAGTTTCATTTTCAATTGGTGCGTATATATATCGCATGTATAACCTTACAAACTTTACACATGATTTTCGTCCGGTACTGTATGTATTCACGTATGGGAATATTTCAGAATACGCATGTCGCTGTGCCAGGGAATTTTTCTGTCATTATTCTAAACATGTTTACATTGATTTATTAGTAACAATCGTCGTAGTTCTAAATAACCTATACTTAACTTTATATTAACAATCATAGCTTAACTGTTAAATCGAGTGCAAAGTTAATAATTGTCTGTGATAATATTTAACTATTAAATATATTGACTTCAATAAAATTATATTATTATCGTTGTTTTACTATCTAGGGTCAAAATCCATACAGACTGTTTGACGTCATCCAATGGCAAGTCTTCGAATGTCAGATTCAATTTCAGTCGGTTTCTGCAGAGTACAGTCTGAACACAACGAATAGGAATGAAAATAGTGTTGCGTAGTTTGTACAAGTGAGTGTGTTTATTCCGGTATTTCATAGTTACAATTATTAAAAATATATAAAAATATCGGCCAAAATGTTGAGACAGACAGAAAATAAACTTGACATGGGAAGTTTAAGTGTTTTAATGAATATTAGGACTAAGTATATAATGAGTGACAATGAATTGTGATCTTAGTAATAATTTATATCATATATAGATATATATATACCGTGTAATGCATTTCATTTTCACCATTATTTTATCGTCACTTTCGTAATAATTGCATTCATAATTCATTGGCGTCGGCTCAATTACTTAAATATTAAATAGTGGAATGGCAGCAGCCCACAAGAAAAATCAATCACGTAGGAGACTTGCAGCAATCACATTTCTTTCAAATATTTCACTAGATGGGAGCCACCGGGACACAAACCTTGCTCTCCTACCATATAATGGAGCTATACACCGGCGTATTTTTAGTGAACCTCCAGCTATCAATGAGATGATGAGAAACAATGATGCTGACACTTCTGAAGAAACTGTTGATGTTATGCCAGCTGATGCTTTCGATATAAAACCAGAGGAATCTAGTGATTCAGGTCTCAAAAAAATTGATCATCATTCACTGAGTTCTGATTCTGATGGAATATTTACCTCTGCTAAAAACACCATTTCGGCTCTTCTTGATCAAGAAAGAATACAACCTTTACTATCATCTATTCCTGGATCTTTCCGAGAACGGTAATAATTACTCTATTAATAACATTCTTGTTTTTGTGTATTATAACATTATTAGTGTATTAAAAACATTAACGTTACCATTGGATTATATAACTTTAGTGTAATTAGTTAACAACGAAAAGTCTCTATACATAATTATGGTAAATTAAATGAATGAGAGCAAATTAGGCAATGTATTGATGAAACTGTTTACTTAAACAACTTTGTTTACACTGTTATTCAATACTATGGATATTTGATACTTTAAATTAATGTTTGTTTACAACTTATGCTGCTGCAATTAAGAGAAAGATGGATGTATTTTACATGTATGAAGATAGATGAATTGAATTACGTTTATACATATGAAATCGTTGAATAATGTTATTATTTAATTATTATTCATTCCTTTACGAGAAAACCTGAAGATAGCATATATACTCATAGAAATAATATAGGATTTAAAAATCTAATGAATAAAATTCTAGAAAGAATTGTGATAACTATGCACATGTATTTAATCATTACATTATATGTACAATATAAATAAAATTGTTATCTTTTCGGAACAGTAAATGGTTACTTATCATTTTTAAAATTTGTTCAAGTCTACATGATAATATTCACATGAATTAAATACTTTTATATATTGAATAATGTTTGTTTTCAAATTCAGTAAAAAATCATTAATTTCAATAAACATAAAAGATATTAAAAATGATATGGGATTTTAATATGTGTCGTTCAAATTGAAATTTTCACAGGTCTCCGATAAAATGTTTTACTTTGTCAATTAAAAATGTTTAAATATCTATTTTTAGCAATGTCGGAAATAAATGTACTATAAAAAAAATTTTATCTTCTTTCCAGGGCTGGAACTGCAGGAAGCGAATATTCTTTACCTGAAAGACGAGTGGGATCGTTTCATTATAAGAGACGAATTGTACACCAAACATCTACCCTATCAGAAGATATAAGACATCATTATAATAGTAGTAGCGAAAGTATTGGTTCTCTACGTTCAAAATCGATTTCATCTAAAACAAAAGGGAAAACATTCAATAATATTCAAACTGGAGGACCCAATTCTGTAATAATACCTGAAGCACCTCGAGAATTAAGAATAATGAATCGACCAGTGAATGGTCACAAATTTGGGGACGATCGACTTGTTTTAGTATCCTCGAAGAAGGTTCCATTCCTCATCTTTTCTGCGTTGCCTTACAGTAAAAACCAACGAACAAGTTGGTACGTATTGTTCATTTTCAAATATCGATTTTATTATATAATATTCAATTTTATTTATACACTCACGAGTTCATTTTTCATTAAAAACAGTGGCTTCATCAATATCTCATTTGATTATAATCCTCTTTTTCGCTAAACTTATCAGTGATATTGATGAAAAATTTATTGTTATTATTAGCTGTCAAAGTGTCACGAGTACCCCGGGCTTGAAAAACATCAGTGTTTCTAATCGAATTCTACGCAGGTATATCGTTTATTAGATAAACTCGTGTACTTGGTTCACAAACAAATTTAAATATCAAAAGTTTTTCAGAACATGTTGTAGCACAGGTTTAATAGTTTTATCTATTTGATCCTTTTTTCGATTATTTTTTATTTATTGAAAATATAATATTATTAGCTTCAATGAGATAATTTTCTTTGCATTTAGATTATTTAAATCATCTGTATTTTTTGTAGGTCTGAATTACGTAAAGATACCTGTCGAAGACGAAATACATCCGGACCAAGGCCTCTCTCTTCGATTAATGATAATTTGGATCCTTTTGGTCTTCTAGGTATAGAAAGGGCTAAAGACGGACAAGTAAGATATTTTTTATCAGTGATAATAGATGATAATCTTATAAAAAATAAGTATTAATTAATTTATAAGTAAATTGGGCCTTGAATAAAAGCCAGAGTTAGATAAAATTCAAAGCCTTCGTCATGAAGCCATTAAAATGATAATTTAAATAAAATATGTTTTCAAGACGTTAATCAGTGTATTTTCTTTTCGTTAAATGCAGGAAATATCGTACGGTCAATTATTAGTGCCATCGAGACAATTTCAACGAGAAAAAAAATTTCATGTAAATGATTGTGAAAATATTGATCTAACGTACAATCTGAAGCCACATCATGTAGTATCAAGGTAATAAATTATATTTTATTTTCTTTTTAATCTTATTAAATTTAATTTTTTCATTTTAATATTATCATAATAACATGCTATGAATATATAGATTTTATTCATTTATTAAAGGTAAAGGTACAATGGATAAAATCATGTCTAATAAAAGTATAAAACATTATTTATTATTTGATTTAAAAGCATTCTTTATCAATTTCTTTGATATGATTCAAATCTTACATCTTTATTAATGAAATTAACGTTTTTTTACTACAGATAAATATTATCTATTGTTCCACTGACCTTTAATATTTATTAACAACAATTACTAAAACATAATTTTATCTGCATAGTACTGGTCTGTAATTTTTTTTAACAGCATCAATTACACGTCTTTTTACAGGACAAAAACTATAACGTGGAATTTGGATCGTACAAAGTGGTAATGAAAATACTTCTTACAGATCTAGTGTCGTGTGGTAGATAATGATTGTATGAAAAAGTTGTTCTGCATGCGGTCATATATCTATCAATATAAAAAGATATAAGCAAATGTGTTGTTAAAACAATTACTAAAGAAAGATTTGGTTAATTTGTTAAATGTATTTCAGTCAATCAATTGATGATATAAAATTACAAATAAGATATTGATAACAAAGTATCGTTTAATATTAAACATTTGAAATAATTATCTGTTTCAGGTGTCTCTCTTACGATACTAATACACATCGCCAGTATATGACATCTGATTCTCCACCATTATCACTGACTAACGATGGCAAAAGTATGCGCATTTTAATATTATTACTTACATTTATACTGCATTTTTGAGATGAAAGAATGTGATGACTATTTTATTTTTTAAATTTCCTTGAGAAACTCTTACTTTTAAAAAGAAAAGTTTTTTTTTTTATTTTTTTTAATAATGAATAAAGAAATTTTTTATTTCATCAAAAATAACTATAAAAATTCAAATAATTTTTCTCATAGCTTTTGATTGGGATGAACAAGGAATGCAATACAATCCAAATTTATTGGACGATCCTGAATTGATTGCTGGCAAACATCGGACTCTTCTCACTTTTACCTCTTACATGGTATTTATATAATATCATTTATACATCTCAAAATTATCTTTTACACAATTATAATCTATCTAAGTTCATATATAATTCATTCAGAAAACTTATTTTTAGGCTTCCGTTATTGATTATGTGCGACCATCTGATTTAAAGAAAGAGCTAAATGATAAATTTAAAGAGAAATTTCCACATATTCAATTAACACTTAGTAAATTACGAAGGTCAGTTATAAGATAATATTACATTAAGTAATAATAACAGTAATAACATCTTAACAATTATTTTTTTTCCTAGCCTGAAGCGAGAAATGCGAAAAATAGCGAAATTAGAGTATGGAATCGATCTTTTGACGGTTGCAATGGCATATGTGTATTTTGAAAAGCTTATATTACGTAATGTTGTAACAAAACAAACACGTAAACTTTGTGCTGGTGCTTGTTTACTCCTTGCGGCAAAGCTCAACGACGTTAAGGGTGATGTACTTAAGTCTCTTATTGAGGTAAGACTCATCAATCTTTCAACATCATGTATTTTCTGAAGTTTCAGGATATTTAATTATGTTATTGATAATTACAGAGAACAGAAAGTGTCTTTCGGTTAAATCGTAAAGATCTTATCACGTCCGAATTTGCTGTGTTAGTTGCGCTCGAATTTGGATTGCACCTTCCTACATGGGAAATATTTCCTCACTATCAACGTTTGATATATGAATCTTGACCTTATTTTTTCTCATTCAAAATTTTATTTTCAGTACAATGACTTACTAACACATTTATATTAGAAACAAGTTCTTTGTTACACACCACATTTTGGCTTAGCCTAAAGTTCGAGCGTAAGCAATAAAGTACCTTAAATATACTCATTTAATAATATTTATTATATAAACATTGAAAGATGAAAAAAATATCAAATCCAAAAGAGAAAAATGTTTTTATTTAACATGGATTAAAAAATTTTGATGTAAAGAAAAAAAAAGTTGAATTAGTTACTTTTTTAACTTTCCAGAGTTTTATATAAACACAAATTTATTTAAATAACAGCAAACATTTATTTTCCAAAATATATTGGGTTGATGCAAACAATTTTAATATTAATCGTAATAACATCATTAAAAATTTTTATACAGTTTTTTTTAACTTTAAAAATATTGTATTGATAGTAAAAAATAATAGATTGTATCACATTAATAAAGTTTAGGATTTAAAAATGTAATTAATTTGAGTTTTAATTGTTATAGAAATTACGAAAAATGGAAAAATTTTGCATCAGTTTAATTTAATCATTAGGCTGTTATTTTAGTAAATATTCATTTAAGTCAAGAACAATCAGGGTCATTCATAATGATTAATAAATGTCTTATATTTATATACATAATCATTTTTACAGAATCATTCATAATTAAAATAATCCATTTGTTATCATTTTAATTATAAATATGATGATACTTTCAAATTGACTTTATTCAATACTTTTTATTATAAATTGTTAGTACAACATGAAATATGCTCAATTTATGTATGTATGATTATATAAATTATGTTAATTAATTGTACTTAATTTCGAGTCAAATTAAATCCAAATTACATATTATAATGTTTTTGTCATATCATCATTTGTAAAATTTATGAAATGTGAGCGTCATACACAATAATATAATCATCATCGGAAACATCTGCGTGCATAAATAAAATCAAGGATCAATTATGCTATAAAATTTGGATTAGTTAAATATTAAAATTAATGCAGTGTATAAGTTTGAGTGGTGACGAGAGTTTGATTTTTGTTATAAAAAATACACTATTTTTTGTAGCGAAATGATTGTGATTACTTAAAACAAATAATTTTAATTGTCTCATAGAATTTTATTATTCATCTATTAGAATATAATTGAATGCATCTTAATTGTAGTAGAAATGGTTGGAGGTTTTTTATGAAAGCCCTTAAAAGAAAGTGATATCTATTATTGATAGTATAGTTTCGTATACTTTATGTATAAATCTATACAATTATCTTTACTATAATTATTACTGTTATTATTATTTTAATTGATAAAATAAGTACAATTTAATAGTTCTATATATACATATATTGATTCTAGTCTAATGCTAATGTCGTTTGAAAACCGGACTAACTGATGGAATCATGTGATTATTGATTAAATCTTTATATTATCTATCTATATATTCTATGAAATTTACATGTTAATATTAGACGATTCTTATATTAGAATACTTAATTATGTACTTAAACAACTTTTTTGCGAATTTGCAATACAAATTCATTTATAAGAGATACAAGGTGTTTGTTAATATTAAATTAAAAATGTACCTAAAATATTCCTTTGGTAATAATTGTTTCAAAAAAATGTTTAAATCCTAAAGAATTTTTAGATGATTTCCAATTCAGGAATCATCACATATATGTTGTCTATTTAACGTATTACTTTCTGTACCATTAATCACAATTTGATTAAAATTCCTTTATTCACTAAAAGTATTTGGCTTAACTATCGACCCAGGGACGTATTGTAAAGTTAAAAGAACTTCATTAATCCTATTGATACCTCCAAAAATTATTGAAGCCATTCCATTCGGATAATTTAATTTAGGATTTTTTTATTATTCCGACATAAATTGTTGAATTCATCTACAAAGATTATTTACCGATCGATTAATTCTGTAAATTACTATGATTACATAAGTGAATTTTCATTGGGTCCGTGTAAATATGATACTGTACAATAATAACTACTATTTATAACTCAGTTCAAATAAATAAATGGATAATTAACTTACTCAGTAGTTCATTAGCTTGTTTGTTTCTTTATCATAATCTTTTTAATCAAAATGGAATTTTATGGATCTTCTGAAAGCTTTGAGATTTATTATGTCATTAACATGCACTTGAATAATTATCGGAAGTGTAAAATAAATCCTCTATGTCCGACAATTTTTATCTATAATTAGAAAATTTTGAAATATTTCAGTATAATAATTCAGAATGAGAATGAAAATAATAAAGTTATTTAATGTATATGACTTTATCTCCTGTAAATCAGTCAATATCGGTCAGTTAAAATTACTTTGAATTTATAATAGAATTTATTAAATAATATCAACTATTGAATGCTATGAAATATTGAAAATGTACTACTGTTTTTTATTACACTATTTTTATGTAACGTTCATAATAATAAAATGTTCATCTTAGGATTTTTAAAAGGATTATTAAGTAAGGTTTAACTATTATTTAACATAATTATTTATAGTTCACACACGCAGGTAGAAATCCGATTGACATCAAGAGACAATGGTCAGGGACAATTAAAGTCATGGCCAATGAAGATTATTTTCTGTTCATAACAGCTTCCTGTCAATGGCTTCTGGACTTGTGGAGCTTCCGTATATTTTCATATAAAGTCAGGAGGATGAATTTCACTAACAATACTACTCCACCAGTTTTTGAGTTTATGTCTCGAATATGGAACATTCTTTCTTCAGTTTTAAATCAAGTATTAGCTAAGAAATAGGAAGAAACGAGTGTTTGTGTTGTCGAAGTGATTTTCACAATGACGGATGATCAAGTATCTTTTCAAAAATTTTTGGTGGGTTGGTGGACAGAAGAAGCTGAATGTTTGCTTCAAAGAATAGAAAGATGGACCTTACCACGTCGATATAATAAACTTCATTCTCCAAGACTATCACGAGGATGCATGACCATGCAAAATAATCAGAATGACGTTTCCCAATGGAACTGTTCTTCATCAAGGTCTAGTTTTCCAAGACCAGTGCAAGAACATTGCAGTTCTCTTGATGAAATACGCAGAATTAACTGTCGTAGAACATTTTACCAGTCTAACAACCGATTTGATAGCTCATGCTTGGACGATTATAGGTATGATCATAGTATTTATTTCAAGACGATAGGCGATATTAAGAGCAGCAAGAGTAAACCTGAATTACAACAATCGTGCAAAGAAAAAACGTGTAAGGATCTGAATGATAACAATTGTGATCTAAGTAGTGATAATGTTTCTGATGATGAGTTCTTAGAAATTCAGAACCGACCAAGACCAGCTCCTAGCTTACGTCCGAATCAATGCTGGCCAAATTACAGTCATCCTAATATGGATAATAATAATAACGCTAAAATTAATCATACAAATAATGGAGAAAACAACCATGAGATAGATAAAATATTCAAGAGTTGGCCAATTGTTGATATAGAAAACTTGAGTAATTATAAACAAAATCAACCAGAACAAATAATTGTTAATAGTAATTATACTAATCAGCAATCTCAAGGAGAAGTTGTAAAGCCAACTCAATTATCTTCAAACCCAGATAGCAAACATCGGACAGACTTGACAAGGATCCTTAATTTTCATAAATCAAGAAGGCCAAAAGCTGTTCAACAACCTATGGTTTATGGAAATAATAATATTTCATGGCCTCGGGTTTTATTTAGCTACAATATAGATACAACTCTAGCAGCATCTCATCACTGTACTCTAAACGTTAAATAAAAATTTCCATGGATATAAAATTATGAATATCATTTATAATCAATTAAAAACTTTAAGAAAATATGATAATTCGTATTTAATTGCAATGTAAAACTCAAATATGTTTTTAAAATATTTCAAGAAATAAATTTTTAATTCTCGTTTGGACGAATTGATTTATTATTTGATCCTTTCATGTACTTATCATTGTAGCTTTTATAGTTGACTTATAGATAATTGAATAAATTGAAATTTGATTTCAAATAATGGATCAATGGGATTATGATAAATTAATTTAATAGTCATTTAAATTGAATAGAATAATACTATTAAAGAAATTCGGAAGCTGTTATTAGCAATTTATTTCAATAGAAAAAAAAGAATATAAATGACAGCAAAAGTCCATAGCTATTTTTAGCAACATTCAATGATGTAGAGGATTAGAATTTATGATACCCGTAATATTTTTGTATCAAAATACATCATAATATAGAAATTGGACAGTTTGATAAAATATTATTATTCCCAGAGTGTCAAAAGAGGAAACGCATGCGTCATGTTGGGAGTCGCCACGCAAGCAGTTGTAACTGTGCAGATCGATTATTCCTTAGTAAGGTGCACAAGAAAGTTTGACGTAGAGGTAGTTTTTCATCTATCATTTTTAAACATAAGTTGAAAAATTTTTTGCCACAACGAATTTATTGTTAATTAGAAAAATGGGCAAAAGATTTGAAACCATGGCTGCAATGGCCTGCATGACAACTTTGCTGATGCTGTTTAACTTTATTTTTTGGGTGAGTAAATAGGCATGTCACGAACAACAGTAATCTCTTCAAAACAATTCTTTTTATGGAATTAAATATTTTTTCAATTCTCTAATTCTTCTTGATTTTAATTTTAATTCAATATGCTAGGAATAAAGCAGTTATAGATGATTAATTGAATTAATCAAATCTAGACATCGATCAACTTGTTTGCAAACCAAATAATACTATTAATTCTTAAATTAATTATTACAGTGTACCGGTATTGCTATGCTCTACGTAGGAATATGGATGCGTATTCAACTACGAGAGTATGTTGACATGAGTGTGGAGGGTAGTGGTGCAGCTCTATTGGGTCTTGCTTGTCTAGGAGCTCTTGTTGTGCTAGCAGCAACCCTTGCATGTTGTTGTACAGCACGAGGTCGTCCGGCTCTGTTGTACCTGGTAATAAAATATTTAAATTAATTCTAAAAATTCTTATAAATACAACAAAAGCTGTTAAATATTCCAAAATAACTTTTATATTTCAAACATATTTATTTACTTGATAAACAACTTAATTTATTTTATTCATCAATTAATTCTATCTTGTTAGAATCTTCTCTGTATTTTCAATTAGAATTTTTTCTATGAAGCTTTATAAATTAAAAGCAATGAATGATGGAAATTGTTTTAGTATGGAGCATTTTTAGCAGTGGTAGCTTTGTTAGAATTGGGAGCTGGTGCATCCGTCTATGCTTATCGTACAACTTTAGTTGAAGGCTTTGATCAAGGATTAAATGAAAGCCTTGCTGCATATGGAACTGATCAAGCTATGAGTAATCACATTGATGCTATGCAGTCAACGGTAAGATAATTGAAGAATAATATTTAGCGATGAATTTTTAATGTTTATATTAATATTACTTTATTCATTTGTTAGTAAAAACTAAAAATTCTTCGAATAATGTGTAATAATATTTATGTATTATTTTTTATTCTATTAAGCTTCATTGCTGTGGTAATAGAGCATACACTGACTGGTTAGACTTGAAACCACCCAAGAAAGTACCAGAGTCTTGTTGCAAACCTGATCTAGAAGTGTGCAATGTCAATGATGTTAATAATATTTATGAGGAGGTAAGTTTATCTAAATTAAATGATTAATTTATTTTTATTACTTAAAAAAATAATTAACTGTCATAATATAATAGTATTTCATTTTTATTTTAATTAAAATTAATTTTGAGAAACAATCTAGATTTGTTTTACTGAAAGTTTTTAACGATCTCTATAATAATATTTTAGTCTTTAGTCACGCAAGTTGAATAAACTTTTTAATAGAATTAAATCAATTAAAAATAATAGAAATTTCTTTTAGGGATGTTATAAACGTGTCATTGATTTCATCAACAGTAATGTGAGTCTTGTAGCTGGAAGTGCTGTGGGAGTGGCATTTTTCCCACTGATTGGAGTATTTTTGGCATGCTGTTTGGCGAGTAATATTAATAAAGCTAAATATGAACAAGTGGCTTAACTCAATCAAATTATCTGTAATTACTTTGGCAACATGATCTTTCTATCTATCGATGTTGTCTCAGTATCTCAAATGTATACTTATGTCAATATTTTAACACTAATATTATTGTGAATTTATATTTTCAATGCACAGATAATAATTTTGGTGTTTCCATATTATTGTTAAAAAAAATAATTTATCATTGATGGCTGTGTCTTGCTATCGTAGAAAAAATGTCTTTATTGTACTTGAATATCTCAAAATGACTGTCAAATTATGAAACATAAGTAATTCATTGAATACATAGGAAAATATGGAAGTATATTTTTGAAAAAATTTAATACTTATTACCAATGTTTTCATTTACTCTGAAAAGATTTTTTAAGATATCACACATAATTAATAATATTTAATAATCTTAATTAAAAATAGTCACTACAGAATTATCTGTTCGTTATTCTTGATGAAGTCATCTACCAAATGATCCATTCTCTGCAGATACTTATGCGAAAATTGAGTGGAATTTTAAAGCTTCCAATGAAAATTATATTGTTGTTAACAGTATTTTCTTGAATAATATTTAGAATATAACAAAATTTGCTACTTACTATAATTTTTGACGAAAATTCACAGATTAAATGTAAAGTGATTATTCTCCACAATTTTTAAGCGTTCTGTTGACAGAAATATGTGTCTAATTATATTAATTGATAAATTGATGATTTTAAGTGATATTTATAAACGGATAATAATTATTAAGTGTCATTATTGTATATGTATTTTAAAATATTAAAATACTTTAATGTTTCAACTTTGTAAAAGTTTCAGCGCATGTTATATATTACAAATATTAATTATCCATTAAATAAATACATTTTAAAATCTACATCTTATTAATCCTAGATCTAAATAGTTAGATTTATAATTATTACCTACCCTACTGTGCTTACATTCTTATCGGTACGTTTGCTGCACCTTCGTCAATCACTTTAAAGTGAAGTGGCAATTTTTGGTAAGCTTAATTAATGCTTCAAGATGAATTAGACATTCTGGATCCTTCAATCAAATTGACTCTGAGATTGTAGAGTAACTTAATTAATTAGAATAAATTTTTTCATATTTTTGCAATTTTTAACAGGTGTTTTTTAATTTTATCAATAGAATTATCTAGTTTTTACGTATCAATGTGTATACTTTATGATCACTAACAACAATTATTGAATCGAACACAACAAAAACTACTGATGAATAAAAAATTGTATCCATCGTATCATGTTTTAAGAATTATTTCTAGTACTATGAAATATTGAATAGACTATATTCATTATTTCATTATATTAAAATTATATTAATTCTCTCAGTGTTAATACTTGATGATATATTATTATGATTTAAGCAAATATCGTATGAAAATAGGTACAATAAATTATAGATTTTCGAACCTAAATTTCTAATTTCTTGGTAATTTATTATTTATTGATGTGACAACATAATAATAACCATTCTTTCGTCACTTTTATAGTATATTATCTTTACTTATAAAAATAAATGTTGACGTAAAGAACGGTAAATATTATTAGCGTGAGATTTATTTCCTACTTTATCGTAAACAATGAGACTGAATAACAACATAACGTAGGTAAATGACAAAAAAATAAGAAGCATTATATATCAGTAATACTTATAAAGCTTTTCAAGTATGTATGTTATTCTGAATATTTATATATTTTACTCACAACGAACTTAAATTTTTTTTAATTGATTTAAAAATTTATTAATGAATGTTAATAATGTATCATAAATGGATATTTTGTTATGTATATTTTAATTGCCTATTACTATCAACTGGCACAAATATCAATCATTCAATTTCTCTTATTCCTTTTCACAAGGATATTCATATAATAGATAGAATTATGGTAACTGAATTTTATACAGTCCTAAAAATATAATGTACCAATAACTTTATTTTTAATAATTTTTTCTGTTTTAAGGTCCAAATACTCAAGTCCTGTTATTCTGATCTAAAAACTGTCATCCTTCATGATGAGAATAATAAAAATATCATTGAAAGTGTTAAATCTTTGAGACCCATGAATGTCATCATACAAAATTCTTCAATAACTTGTCAAAACATTCGAAATGGTGATCAAGTGGATTTATTAATTATCAATATTAACTCTGAAGAAGAATTAAATCATGTGTTAACATTACATAAAAAAGTGAAACAATGGAACATTATGGTACCATTATTTATACTCAACAGAAATACAGGAGGCTGTGTATATGCTCAAAACTATTTGGAGTTATCATGGCAGATGGAAATTGTATCAGCATTTTTGGTGTGTATCAATCGAAGAAGAGAGTCAATGATATATACTTATAATCCTTACGCAGATTGTGCTCCTTATTCTTGGAATATTTTTATGAATACAACTGAAAAAAATAGTAGTGATTTGACTTTTTACAGTCGAGCTTATAAAGCGGGTAAGATTAAGTATAATTATATATTTTTTTTATTTAGATAGCTGATGATTAGAATATGAAAATAATTGATTTTATTATTTGTTATTTAGATAATATCTGTAAGGATTTAAAATTTGATCGGACAAGGTTTCTTAATGGAACAGAAATAAGAATGGCTGCTGGATTCTGGATTGATATTCCTACCTATGTATCAACTGATAGATACAAATTAAAAAAAAGAATGATGCCCTTCCATGCAGACATTGCAAATGCAATAAGACATGGTTTAAGAATTAAACCTACATATAATGTGAATGTACTTGAGTATTCAAATGATTCATTCTTTTTCGAGGATTTAGAAAATGGAGTTTTTGATATCAGTATAACTCCAGATGATTCAAACCTTGGTGTTGCTTACAGTATCACTTATCCTGTTCAGTGTTATAAGGAGTTCATTCTGTCTCATTATCAAGGATATCTTTCACCGATAGAAAAAATGTTTAACTTTTATGGCATTTGGGTATTCATGTTTACATTGATTATCATTACATTTACTTTCATAGTGATATTTTTTAAGAAAAAGAAGTCTATAGCATTTTCTATATTTGAAATTCTTCGGTTGCTGACAAACACAGCTCTTCATACTGACATGAGCACACTGTCATTGAAGATATTTTTCTTGATGATATCATTTTATTTTTTGATCATTAATGCTACGTTTCAAGGTCATATTTCTTCATTTTTAACGAAACCAGAGATGAAAAAGAATGCTGATAGTCTGGGAGATCTTGTAGAACCAGAATTTAGTTCTCTTTATGCTGACAATCCTATACGACCATTAGTTCAAAATACTCCTTTACAGGAGAAAACTGTTTACAATACTGTTCACTGTTTGGAGCATATCAAAAAGAATAAATCAATAGCTTGCATAGATAATTTTTATGAAACTCTAAAACTTGCAACAAAATACAATTTGCATTTATCGAGAAATCCTGTTCGTGTGATCGATTTTATCCTTCTCACACGAAGGAATTGGCCTTTAAAAAGTCGTGTTAATGAGGTCTTGATGTGGCTAGCTCATTCAGGTCTTTCAAAAGTATGGACTGAGAGTATAACTGCTGAGTATATTTTACGACAGAGAAGACAAGAAGCAAGATCAGCCATTAAATTTCGACCTATCACACTAGATTCTCTGAAGTTTGCAATGTTTTTCTTGATATTTGGATTAAGTTTGTCGTTAATTTGCTTTTTTCTTGAAAGAATCGTAAATCAAGGATATTTTTCTTGTAACATAGCAATGTCATAAGTAGTATCATAACAATATCATTGATCAATGAATAAATAGGTCACGAAATTGGAAATTTTTACATATGATGTTAATTTTATACATGAAGACTAATGTTTAATATTTTTTTTCGTAAATACTACTTATAAAATTATTCAAGACTATTCATTAAATCATACAAATAATCTCTTTACGTCAGTGATTCAAGGTACAGGGGCGTGTAATATTTAATCGTATTAATAATTGGTAGAAAGGTAGAACTTATGAATAGACTTAAATATTATTTACTTATTAGACATGCTAACGACTATTTGTTTAGTAGCAGTGATTATATACTAAATAGAAAGAGTGTACTATTGTTTAATCATTATAGAATTAAGTTCCGGAAGTGTAGTTGAAAAAACGTGGTCTTAATAAAAATGAATAAGCTTAAACAAATTTTTACATTATTTTTTGTCCTATTTTTCATACCAAAAACATCTGCACATATTGAAAATTTTTTTCGATCTGTATCTCCTCCAATTTTCAATGGAATTATGGTGAGTTTTATGATTGATTATAATTAATATTAATAATTTTTATTCGAATAAAATGATAACAATCCTTTATTATAGGCAGAAATCATGAGATTGTGTTACTCTGATTTGAAATACATCATAATTTTTAGTGACAATGATAGTTATGTCGAAAACCATATAAAATATGTACAACCAGTAGTAATAGTTTTAAAAAACTATTCAGCAACAAAAATTCCAGAATTTTTACATCGGCATCCTGTAGATATAATGATTGTTGATTTCCATTCTGTTCAGCAATTGAAAAGTATATTATTTGTGGATTTTAAACCTGTACTGTGGAGTCAATCAACGTCTTTATTTATCATAGACAAAACATTCAAAAGTTGTAACAATGTACGTGATGTGTTCAAAGCTACGTGGAGCATCACTATTTTGATTGCTTTTTTCTTATGTATTGATTCGAATCAAAAACCGGCTTTGTACACTTACAACCCTTATGCAGATTGTGCACCTAATGTTTGGAAAAAAGTTGAAGGGAAGAGTGAGCTTGATAAGACATGGACTCTTTATCAACGATTTTACAATCCAGGTAAAATATATTATTCTTTTCCAGAATATATTTACAACAATTAGATTAGCCCTGACAATCAGTGAATATTCACTGATTCATCTAAGATACTATCATTACTAACATACTTTTCTTTTTTTGCTCACTTAGAAAGTATTTGTGAAGGTCTCCAATTCGATCGCACAAGAGTTCTTAACGGAGCTCTAATAAAAATTGCAGCAAAAATGAATAAAAACCGTCATCTACCTGCCAATCGTATATACAATGAAAACTATGTAGAAGATTTAACGTATCCGGATATTCATATTGCAAAAGTTTTGAAATATGCTATGAATACCACTCTTACATTCAACTGTAATTTAAATCTATATCCAAAGGGTTATGATATCTATAAGCAGTTAAAAAATGGTACTTTTGACATAATTATTTCACCACATCATGCAACGGATGGCATGTTGCATAGCGTAACGTATCCTATTGAATTTGTTGAATATTACATTTTTACAAATGACCAGGGCCATTTCACGATGTTAGAAAAGATATGCAGTTGCTTGATGGCTAAAGTTATTATGATAGTCATATTTATTTTATCAATCACAAGCATAGTGATCATACTCTTCAAAACAGAGGAAACTATTGCATCTACAATATTTGAAGTGTATAAATTGGTGGTGAAGGTGCCTCTTCGAATAGAAATGAATACTCCAGGCCTCAAGATATTCTTCACATTGATTTTTTTCTATTTTTTAATATTCAACATCAACTTCGATGGAAACTTCATGTCACATTTTATTAATCCTGGAATAAAAAAAAATGTAGAAGCTCTGGAGGACCTTGAAGATCCAAACTTTAATGCAATCTATGTAAATAATGATATAACTTCATTGCTTGAGAATTCTTCTTTGAAGAACAAGATTGTTTTAGGTACTCCATATTGTGAAGAGCAGATCAAAAATAGTAAATCAGTAGCATGTCTTGAGAAGCTTGATGTGTTTTCTAAATCAACTGTCTCGAAAGAGTTACATATTGCACAAAATTCTGTTGATGGTGATTACTTTGTCTATGTCACTCGCAAAAACTGGCCATTGAAGGCTCGTTCAGACATCTTGTTCATGCGGGTACAACAATCTGGACTGTCTAAGCTATGGTTTCGTCAGTTAGATTTAAAAAGAGCTATGAACATGCATCGATATAAAGAAAAAAAAATACAAAAGTTTCGTATTATTACTTTGGTAGATCTTCAGTTTCTTCTTATCATACTGGTAATGGGATGGACATTTTCAGTCATTTCTTTTGTTCTTGAAAAATTATTGTAATAACTATTTTATATTATTAATATGTA